CTGCTACCCGCGGCAGGAGAAGCTTGACTTGAGCTGCTGCTGTTGCTGCTGCTGCTGCTGCTGCTGCTGCTATGATGATGAGGCTGCTTTCCCCCTGCGGGAACAGCACCAGCAGCAGTCGCTACCTGCGGATGAGGCAGTTCGTTGCTTGCCCGTTGGCGCCCCTCCTCAGCAGCAACAGCAGCAGCAGGAGCTGCTGCAGCATCTGCTGCTACTGGGCTGCCAGCTTTGCTGCTGAGGGCCGCCTTCAGTTCATTGAATCGCTGCTGCCTCCACCGTATCTTGTCTTCCCTGTTTGATGAGCTGCTGCTGCTACTGCTGCTGCTGTTGCTGCTGCTGCTGCTGTCTGCCTCCCCCTTCAAATCCATGGCTACGCTGTCATACATCGCCGTTCCTGCGCCACGGGACTCTGCTGCAACAGCAGCAGTTGCTGCTGCTGGGTCCGAGGACGGCCGCGCTGCTTCTCTGCCTGCCCTGCTGCTGCTGCTGACACTGTCCTCTCCCGCGGCATCGCCTGAGCGAGGTCGTTTGCTGCTGCTGCTGCTACTTCTGTTGCTGCTGCTCGCATCTATTAGGTCCTTGGACGCAGCAGTGGGCTGCTCTGCCATCCGCTTTCTGTCCATGGTGTCGCTGAATTGTTTGCTGCTGCTGCTGCTGCTGCTGCTGCTGCTGCTGCTGGACTGCTGTGTACTGTTGCTGCCTTCCAGCTTGCTGTGGGGTTTGTCTTCACTAGTCGAGCAGCTGCTGCTGCAGGGCAATGGGTGGAGCTTGCCGCTGCTGCTGCTACTGCTGCTAGCAGCATTTCTGCTGCTGCTGCTGCGCTTGCTGTTGCTGTCTGCCGCCTCTGCCTTTGGCGATGCGGCTTGCTCTCCCCCCACCTGCGCCTCGGATCCCTTCGGCAGTGCAGCAGCAGCAGAGCCGCCTGACTTACTACTACTACTACTGCTACTACTACTACTACTACTGCTGCTGCTGCTCACGCTGCTGCTGCTCTTGCTGCAGCTGCCCCCTGCACTGCTCGGCTGGTCAGGTTTGCTTCCGCCTTCGCACACAACGTCACCATTCAGTGTCTTGCCGCCTCTGGCGCTGGGGGCTTCTGCTGCTGCTGCTGCTGCTGTTGCTGCTGCTG